TAAAAACAAACAAAAAAATAACTTTCCACCGGAGCTCAAGGCTGCTGTGAATCAGGTAAAATTTGTTTTTGGTGCCTCTATACTTCCTCTCAGTTATCAAATATCTCTGTGCTCTTTCTAGCTTCCAGTCCTGGGAGAACACTGAATAAATCCATTCACACAAAATGCTTCTAATGGAATAATTGATTCAATACTTTCCTTTCACAGCTCTATAGACATAAAACTCTACTGAGTTCTAGCATTTTACATTCCGTTGGTATTTTCCTTTGATGATAACCAGTCTGCTTTTTATAATGCTCTCATCTGGAAGCATCCAGCACTTTTTCCATTTTATTTGAAGTACTAAAAATGTCAACACATACAGTCAACGCTCATTATGTGAGGCCACTCAACATCTGTGATCACCCCTCCCTATAAATATATTTGGTAATTAGTCACAATGTGGATCCCACCTTCCCACGCAAGGCAGGAGCCAGAAATTCCCTCATCTTCCCACGTTCTTCCAGTCAAGGTTCCAGCACATGACTCAGGTCCCACCAATCAGATGCAGCCTCAAGACCATGGACGTCAGAAGCAAGCGTAATGGGGAGGAGGCTACGCCCAGGAGAAGCAATTTCTCATGAATGTGGCTCTCACTCTGCGTGCGTGGTTCCTTGTGGGTGATGGTGACAGAAGTCTGGGCCGTACAAGCTGCTGAGTCCCCGAGAAAGCAAAGTGGTTGGGTATTATTTCGGACTGTGGAGTTCTCTCAAGCCTGGGAGAGAAACTGTGGGCTATAGAATATTCTTTAATAAATCCTATTTCTGCTTAAACTGGCATGAGCGAATTCCTTAGTTTGCAACTAAAAACTGTGACCCACATGTGAAGACAAGTTTATGAGTAGATCTATTTTCATTAATTTTGCTTTCAATATGATGACTGAAGGCCTTCATCCTATCTTGGATATTTTCTCTATTTGTGGATAATTGCTTATCTGCTCTATGCTCTCCTTCAGAAATTTCCTATTTATATTAACATTTATATAGATACAAAATCAAATAAGACTATACATGTACAAATGCTATATATAACTACATATACACATATATAGCAAGTTATATACACATATTTTTATATACAAATAAAACTATGTATCACATGCTACATACATGCTACATATATACTATATATAACTATATATACATACATGTATGCTATGTACAATAACATAAACATACGAGTATGTGTACGGTGTTCTCAATCTATCATCCAAGCTCATCCTTTCAGTCATCATTTTCATACCTTTGGTATTTTTCATTAAGTTCTGGGAAAATATCTATAACTTCTATTTAAATCATTAGTTTATCAATTGCACATTGCCTTATTGCAGTTATACATTCAGAGATTTATCTCTTTGTAACCTTTTAATCTCTCAGTAATCTTTTCTGATGTGATGCTATTCCTCTTTCAAACTATTTTATTTTCACACATGTATTCTGTACCAGTTAAAATAAATTAGATTACACTGTAGTAATAAACACATCCTAAATCTCAGTGAATAAGACCAAGTTTATTTTTCACTTATTCAATTTATCCAGTGTGGGTGAGCAGGAAGGTTTGTCTCCATTTCAGAATCTATTTCCACAGTTTCCATGTCAGAAAAAGAAAAGCACTGACTCCTACAGCTTTGGCTCAAAAGTGACATACATGGTGTTCACATACCTTCAATGACCCAAGGAAGACCCGGGAAGGTCTTCAGCTTGGAAGAAGGCTGGACAGGGCAATACGATTGTGTTTCTCCAAAGCACAAAAAGAGGGCCAAGCAAACCTGGTGAGCAGCATTAATACTTCCACTCCACATAGCCTTCTTATGAATCATCGTGATAACAGGAATTACAGATGTTCTAAGTGGATCTTAGGTTTTTAATGTAAATCTCACTGTTTTGGTGAAGGTCCTTTACTTGGATACATCTAACGTGTCATTCTTATCTGAATTGCCAAACTGAAGTCACGTATTTCAAAACTTTCCACGTGCTTATTCTGCAGGGAGCATTTTTTATCCATTATTGACAGTTGAAATGGGTCTGTTAGAAATTTGTCAAATTTAAAGCTGCCTGAAGATCCCAATAAGATAAAGATTTGTCCCTTGATGGCTGGCCCCAGGCCCTCACCTTTTCCAATTCAGTCTCAATTAGATGGAATAATTTTTCTTTTTTGCTTTTGGGATGAACATTTTTTCTTCCTCTTCTAGATTCTTTGAGTCATTTTATTGGGAACTAGCCAAGAAAAGGGAAGTTAAATGAGTGTGATCGAACCATATCTTGTACTATAACATTTCCTAGATTGCTGATTTCAGATGTTAGGTCTACCATGAATCCAGTTACCAAGGTAACTTTCCCTCATACTCAACCGGTTTTCAAACTTTGCTAATTTTGTTTCCCAAATAGCTTGCAAAAGAACAGAGCTCTTGAAGAAAGAATTAATATCAAACTCGATTTACAACAATTTGGCATCCCCAGAAAAAATGTTATATGTAACATTAAAGAAGCAAAATCCTGAGAGCTAATCATTTTGATAAGGCTACATTCAAGTGAAAACCAATAAGCTTTCTTATTCTTTTCAGCAAACAAAGTCCTAAATGCTCTCAATCAATAGGGAAAGAGGTTGGTGTTCAGCTTGCACAGTAAGCACTCAAGAAATATTTGAATTTGACAGAGCCAAAAAACAGGGCCAAGTAAAAACATTCATGGGGACTGCCACCAAGTTGAGTAAGGTATGGCCAGGCTGCTGTGGCCATACTTGCAATCAGTATATGTAGGGAGATCCTGACTGCAACTTGATGAGGAACACAGACTGCAAAAAGTTAGAGAGAAAGCTCTGAAAAATAAATCATAAATATTTCCATATCGTCGATGCCTAACCAAAACTTTCCACTGGTTTCTAGCACTATGGTAACTAAGGAAAAGTTACAAGCAATATATTTAACAAGGACATTTTTTGTAATGCTCTCATAATGGGTTTCCATTGGTAGACCTTGAATTTCAGATACTAATTTAATATGCAGCAAAAACCTTTTTGATAAAAGTCTCTATTCTGATTAGGATGAATTAGTCGATAGAAAAGCTTGTGCATTCCCACTCTTACAAATGGCTTCTGATGACTAAAAGCATAATGTTTGTTCATGAAGAACAAAAAGTCCTCTCCCTAGTACAGCGCCTAACCTTGTCATGTAAGGTAAGATGTCTTAAAAATTATCCTCCCGCTGAAGGCTCTTTCATATTGGCCTACAGTTTGTTTTATAAATACACCAATAGTCAATTGAACCCTGACTTTTCTTCGTAGGTATCAGTTTTTGGAACGTTAAACATTAATGTGGAGTGAGGGCATTCAACTGAAACCTCACAGTACACTCTGTGCTCTCAAACAGACTTTGAATTTCTTATTTAAAACATAAAAAGCCAAGTAGGAAGCCACTAAGATACAGTTATAATAACAGTCTCAAATTATAAATGCAAAGTAATCTATAAAACTTGTTTTAAATATTGGTTCGTGGGGAACAGGGTTAGGTGGGAGTATGTGGTCATAAAAGACACCACAAAGAATATCTGCAGTGATCAAAATAGTCTGTATTTTGGCTGAGGTGATGGATACATAAACCTATACATGTGATAAAAGTGCAGAGAAGTAAACACACACACACACACACACACACACACACACGTACAAATAAAACTGAGGAAACCCAATAAGACGAGTGGATTGTATCAACATCAATATCCTGGTTTTAAAATTGTATGGTAGTTCTACAAGTTACTACCATTGGGGAAACTGAATAAATGGTACAGGGGATCTCTCTGTATTATTTCTTATAACTGCATACAAATCCACAATGATCCCAAAATAAGAAGTGGGAAAAAAAAGTTCTAAAGTTCCTCTACTTTTCTTGAAAGACCATGTTTTAAAACCATCCACATGTGAACCAATTCTTCTGTGCTTTTCTTCCCTTATAAGAGTAATTACATAATTACAAATTTACCCTAGAAGTCATGTATGGAGTCCATGGTGTAGATGTCATCTAGTGAAGCATTTGGGTGGAGATTTTTGGAGTGGAATTCCGGCAAGCGTATGAGAAAAAGGGTATGCATAGTGCTAACAGCACAAATAATGCTTTCTAAACGACTCTACAAATCATTCGAGTTTCTTACAAATATTCTCCTTTAACTTAAATGCTACTTAAGGACTTCCTTTTTATATTCACAACAAAAACTTTTTATCTGCCTTTGGCTTTGCTATTATTCTAAGTAGCCTTCCTGATATCTTTCTGAAAATACAAGAGCTAAAGATATAAAAAATATATTGTTCCAACACATAGCAATTATAGGGCCATTTAGAGAATTTAATAGGCTTTAAGTATATTTGCATTTGATAATCCTCTCTACTACCAAACATAATAAAATGTATCCACATGGCACATTCAATACAATTAATATCAAAACACATATATTGAGATGCAGTTGATTAATTGATATAAGGTTTCTTTTTGGAGACATTTAATTAGATAGTTATTAATTTCAAGTGTGCAGTTTTCTTTTTGTATTTTACAGCCATTAGTTTTTTATTTTTTATTTATTTATTTATTTAAATTTTTTTAGCTGAGCCATCCTGCCACCTGTTGGCAGCTCAGTGGCAGCTCAGCTCAGGCCAGGCATCGAACCGCTGTTGCTCAGAGCTCAAACTTTTGAGCTCTTAACCAACTGAGCCACTCGGCCGGCCCTGGCCATTCATTTTTTGAAGGGAAGGGAAAGCGGTCTCAATAATTTGCAGAGTCCTGAAAGCTCATATGCCCTACATACTGTGCACATAAACTTTAATGAAAAAAACTGTCCTGATTTTACAAGGTTAAGCAGCATAATTCACTTGGAGAATGTGGAATAAGGGGGTATGAAAGCAAAATTTGTATTATTAATTGCTTTCCCAAAGCCACAGTGTTGGTCTTCTAAGGTACAGCAGCAAAAACTAACCTGAGCATGTGGGCAGCATTGAAGACCACATCAAACTCCGTGCTGTCCAGTTCAGCTGCTTTTTTTGCCATCTCTGCTGCTTCTATGAGGCGAGCTTCTTCCAAAAGAAACTGACCTGCAAAGTATAAAAACAATAATTGAGGTGATATGAAGTTAAGACTTACACATGTGCCATAAATCTACATGCTCATTATGTAGTCATATTTTAAATGCTTTTCCCTAATTTGCAGGACATTGCAATGCCATCTATCTGGTACACTAACAATTTTTTTTTCTTAAAGTAAAATCCTGTATAGACTACTAAAGAAATAAAATGAATGAAAGATATGTTACAATTATGTAAACATGTAAAAAATTATTAAATTTTTTAAAGCTAATTGGAAGGTTAATGTTTTCTTTTTGTCCAGTTTTATTGAAAAATAACTGATATACACCACTGTATAAGTTTAAGGCATACAGCATGATGGTCTGATTTACATATATTATGAAATGATTACCAATGTTTTCTAATAGTCAACATGTTTGAGATTTAAGGCATTGGGGTAGTTCTACTGCTGAATCTACAGCTCAGGTGCTATATAGTTTAATAAGCCACCAGTCAACCGGTTTAAACGTTCCCCTATACAGTCATTTATCATATGCTGCATCACTAGTATAAAATTTAATTATTAGCTATAAATATCTGAGCTCCTAAGAGGATAGCTGCTTTGGAGAAAGAAAAGAGGTATTACAAATATGAATTGAGTTGATTTTAATTACTAATCCTTTAAAACAGCTTCCTTCTCCAATGCATATGCACAAACAGGACTAGTCACATTGAGATATATTTATTTCTTATATTTAAGTAAAATTATTAAAAGAACATAGAAATGTCGGTTTAGCATTAACACACTCTTAATTAGACTGACTGATAAACATGGGACAAATATTAACCAGTTCAGACTTTTGAGATTACTTTCAAGTCAGCTTTGCAAAGTGGGAATTATTGCAGATGGAGCCGCAGAAGTCTCCAAAACTGTACCTCTAGAATTGTTATGTAATGCTATTCCAAAATTACATTGTAAAGGCAAAGAAAAAAACATAAAAGCTGAGCCCAATTTTAAGTCTGTAAATATACAAACAGAGGATAGACTGATATTTTATAGCTAGGGGTTTATTAGCAGCAAAAATAATGATGTTAAGCCTTATCCAATATCACTATTCACATGAAAACCAAATCAAGGGATGACAGAGATATGCAGAAACCATTCATGCAACTGACAGGCTTATAGAGTTGTGATCTAATGGTTATTTCTTCTTGCTTTGGGTTTCCTGTTTGCTTAAAATTCAAGCCTTTACCAATACTAAAAAGAGTTATAAAATTGATTTGCAATTCCTGAGTTGCACACAGAAACAGAAAAACTTTAAAAATGGTAAATCCTTCTAGGTGGCTATAGGGAAGAAGCCATTATATCATCTAATAAATATTACAAACTGTCTTCTAATCCAAAAAAGACCAGTCCTTAATATACAAGGGGAAATTTTCTGTTTTAAGGGTTGTAATAAAGCACAGCCACTGCCTGTACTTAAGCTTCTAAACTTCAATTGGTGAAGAATGGTGAGTAAAGATAAGCCTAGGATTTCCAGCTTACATTTTTAAATGAATTGACACTTTTAAGACTGGGACTTGGAGACCCATCAGCTATTTCTACAAAAACTTTTGTTAGTTTGTAACCTAACATTCTGTGGCTTTCTCATGTGCCCAAACAAACATAATTGTTGGGTTAGAAAATTATTAAGAAAACGGAGCTGTAAATAATTACATTTAGAAATAGAAAAACACATTACTCATGAAATTTGTGTATGTGCTACCTCTACAAAGACATTGACGTGAGATTCAACATAAAGCACCCATGGTTTTAAAAAAAAGTAAAATAAGAATTAGACAATGTGTAATACACATTGAATAATTACTATCTCCTCATATACATCTTAGTAAAGGATAGCAGGTTAAACCTATTCTTCGTTAAGCTTATTATAGGTTGTTTTTTAAAATTAAAACATAATATTAATTGCTACCTGTTTTCAAAGCATAATATTTACCTAAGTAAATGTATCAATACATGTGTTAATTAGTTATGTGATACTTAAACAAAAGACAATGTAGGATTTATTAATTGTTCTGTGTCCTTTCCAGACAGCTATTAACTCTGAAATGTATTCTGTTATTAATAGTTAGAAAAATGCAACAATTAATTAAATCAAGAAGGTTAGTTTCTTAAAATCATTACTAGCCTGTAGAGAGAGAAGGAGATATATTAGCTCTAGTAAAAGAAAAAAAAAGAAAAAAAGGACATGGTATCTCTATTGTCCACATAGAAAGGGACAGTGACAGAAGTCTGTGTGTAAAGATAATAATACTTGATGGCATAAGAGGTCAGTTTATACTCAATGCCCCAGGGCAAAGTTTTTTTTTTAATTTTTAATTTTTTATTGTGAAATACACATTTTTTAGAATTAGTTTCAGCTATACAACACAGTGCAATAGTTATACTTTTTACTCCTCGAAGTGACAACCCCCCTCCCCAATCCGCCGCCCCACTTCCCCCCAATATCATACATATCTATTACAATTCCCTTGATTCCACTCCCACACTATACTCCACATCCCATGACTATATATATATA